TTAGGTCTCAAGACCTCCTTAAGCAGAAGGAAAAATATTTTATCAACTTAAGAAGTAGTGGAACATTCAGAAAAACAACATTCTATTTCAAAATAAGGCAAGTAATGAAATCACAATAACAACACTATTGGAGACTATGTCTTGTGTCTAGAAACTGACATGGGAAAGTGAAATGAGTCAGGAAGGCAACATTTCCGACCTTAAGTCTTCAAAAGTGATACTGCAAAGCCAGTTAGAACAGATAAACATTATACTAAAAATGAAAATTAATATACCAGAAGAACTGAGTTAAAGCCTGAGCAACCCAGGGCTGTGCTACTGTCTGCAAGTATAATAGCATATACTAACTGAACTGTATAAAATCCAAAAGCCCCTCAGAAATTAAAAGCAGTAGCTGGGTTTCCACCCTTTCAAGAACTTACAAAAATTAGAAATACGATCCCCACAGCAACACGTATCAGAATCTTAATTTTATTCCACCTGGGAGCCTTTTGTTCACTAGAGGAGAAGTCCAAGGAATTTTGATCTTTGCAAAACTCTTCCTTAAAACCACAGACTTGTAGCTGTTTTGGAAATATTTCTGCATTAACTCTGGCCCTTATGCCAATAACTGGAAAAGGAGAGAATGCTGTTAACATTTAAAATAGTGGAAAAGATGTTGCTTTGTTTCTTCCAAGGAGCTCTTCCATTATAATAAAAGCTCGAGTAACATTTCCTTCAGGAAATGTCTCTCACACACATGGCCAGCTGCTGGCCCTGCTCCTCCTGGTCTCAGTCCCATGAGACATCCAAGTACGTGTTCTGATCAAGCAGGCAGTCCCACTAGAGTGCACAGAACTATTTACCTGCTAAATTATAGGCAACCCCTCTGGTACCCTGCTGAATCGGGGCCTTTCATACTATTTTGAATTATCCTGCAATGGAAGCCATAATAGAAAAATCTAGGAAGCAAAAAGGAAGAAAGAAACCCCAAATTAACAAATGTACAGAAAATTTTCATAATGCACCTTACTTAGGCAAGTCTAATTTGAATTCTTCTATATGGTTGGAGTAATGCCCTTGCTGGTTCCACAAACCACCATCCCTCATGTAGACTCATAAATAAGCTAAATTTTAACAACAACACGAAGAATCCTGCTCTGGCTTTTGAAAGTAAAAGGTTCTTTATTAGAAAGCAGAGACTGATGTTTCCAGCAGACAATGGATTTCTTCAAAGATGCCAATGGCATGTGAATCAAACCCAGCCAGGAGGCAGCAATTTCAGAGGAACTAGGTTTGAAATTTATTACTCCCTTTTCCATCAATTTCCAGCAGTCCCTCAAATGCAGTTTGCACAACTACAAAAATACATGTTCTTTGTAAACAGGAACAATGACTGGCAGTCCCAAAGGAAGAAAAAGACTCTCTAATCTCTCCTCAGGCAGAATAAACCAAGTTCTTCATCTCTGAAAGCTCTCAGTAAGATACTAATGGATGAATAGAACAACAACCTCAGCCCCCCCCAAAAAATCCCAGCAAACAAATCAGCCCCCCAAAATCCTAAACCACATAAAAGGTTGCTCCTCCCTGTTTGGTGTCTCTGGTATACTTCAGCAGTGCAGACAAAATATCCTGACAAATCAAACTTGCACTGGTAGTTCTGTGACCAGCCAACAGTGCTTGGAGAGAAAAAGAGAGATCTGAAACGAACCTGCTAAACACTACAATATCTAATAAAATGCACCCATAGTTCAAAGGACATTTTGATGGTACCTCAGTAAAAAGTGTCACACCCCCCGAAAGGTCACATTTATTCGCAAAAGAACAATTGCTCGGCCAAAGAAGCCACATATTTCTGAAAGAATCCATAGTGTAGACTTACAGTGTAAAAGCTGTTGTCTTCTTCCAGATGGACTAAAAATACATGCATTAGTAAAAAAAATTAAAAATTATAAGACTCCTATTAGAATAGTGAAAATGCAATTGGATTTTGTCACTCAGGGGATTTGGATTGCTCCAGGATAAACACTGTGGTAACCAATAACCAAATGTGTATTATTGAAAATAGCAAATAGTCCAGGATAATGACTGCCTTTGATGGAAGTCAATGATAAAGACTTGGGATGAAGAGCACTGAAGCCATTCAAAGCAGCCCTGACACTGAAGAAGACACTTCAGCAGCAGGCAAGCACTGGGTGGGAGATGCTTTCCATTTGGCTACATTTTATGTAAAAGCCAAGTGAACTCCTAAGGCATGTGCTGCGCTTTTTGCTGCCACAAAACTTACAACTAACCTGCACAGCTTATTTTTTCCACAAGCAAGCAAGCCAGCCTCCAGCGAGTCTCATGTTCATCAGAGCTACAAATTGCTGCAAGGGCAAGTTATTAACATAAGCTTTTTGTCAAATGAGGTTCTCAGAAGAGTCCAAGACGCTGATTAACAAACTATGTAACTCCCCCCCGATCCCCTTCCTTCTATTTTAAACGAGGGTCACGGTAGGTTTGGGTTTTGGTTCTTGTGGTTTTTACAGGTAAATCTGAGCAGGGTCTGGAGCAAGAGGGGAGCTCTGCCCATGGGGGAAGGAAAGCTGGCAGCTTCCAGCCACCCACCTCTGCAGACAGAGAATGACTTTTGGATGGACAGAGGCTCATTTCTACATGCTTTTATAATTCAGGAAACCATCACATTCTGCAGAGGCATCAAATGTGATGCCTGTCTCCAGAGGCCAGTGCGGGCACACAGGGTGTATGTGATGATATACTGCTCCCCCTCTACTCAGGTCTTCTACTTTTTTGAAACTCATCAGTAAGTAAAATACCTCCATAGAAAAGTTTTATATACCTATATCAAACTTGGTCTGGCTCCAACATACATCCTACCGATAACCTGAAGGGGATTCCATGCCGCTGCATACATTTCTCCTAGCCCTTTACAAAAGCTGCATTCCCCAGCTCGCCCACACACTCCACACCTTCACAACAAGCACCCAGGGCAGCCCTGGTGCCCCCTCCCCGCACTCCGGCTTTGTTCCATTCTGCTGCCCGGCCGAGCTCGCTGAATAAACGCGAGGAGCGAACCTGCGGCACTCATCCCAGCCCGGCGCTGGCTAATGTATGCAATTACGCTAATCTGCGAACAAGGCTGCCACTGGAAACCAAATACGAGAACGTCAGCATTCCTGACGAACGTGCCACGCTGCAGCCCGGCACAACAAGGAAAAGCTCCTTAACATACCAAATGGGCCTTGGGATGGCGAGGGCTGTCGCTTGCCTGCGCTCCAGGAAGGAGTCACGGCCACCGCCCCGCAGCGAACCTCGTGAGGAACTCAACAACGAGGCCGAGGGGCCAGAGCCTTTGCATGTCTGCGCGGGCTACCCCAGCTTCCGAATAAAGAAAAGGCTCCTGGCTGCAGGAAATGAAACTGCGATTGGGATAGAGATTAGACTTGCAGCCCCAAGTTAAGTGGAGTAGGTCTGCCATGAGTGCTACCTACGGATCGGCCATCTAGTGCACAAACCACTCAAGTGGCATCGCTCTCTTCCTCACCGAGGTGACCGCTAGGCTTTTCTGTTTATCCCAAACCACAGCTGGAGGGAGCTGGCAAGGCGTCATCCGATGAAACCTGTCCCACTGCCTCTCTAGATCCAAACCTTCGCCTTCTCCCGTATCTTAACCACCCCCACCAGACAAAACAGCCAGGCTATTCCAGCAATTGTAAAGATGGCCTTGATTCAGCAGCCTGGCTCCCGATGTCTTTTTTCCATGAATTAAAAAAGCAACGTTTTCTGCTCATAAGAGACCAGTGGATTCTTGGTGGTGTACTGGCATGTCAAATGCTTACAGTGAAACAAACCCCGCAAAGTTAAAAATCCTCATGGTGCATTTTTACAAGACTGTTGAAGATGGTCAGTGTGAAAGGGCAACAGGCTCTTCTATTTACCATGATTGCTGAGAATATGCATCTCAATCCTACAGCTTTTCACTGAAAGAACTACTGCGATAGCCACTGTCTATCTGATTAAACAGCATTTACTGTCTGTCAGCTTAAACACAAACCTATGCCCTATATCAAGAATGACTCAGATTAAAACCAACATGTTAAAAGCAAAGAATACTACACCTGAGGAAGTAAGGCCTAGGCAGTTAACACCTTTTCACCACAAAAATATGCTCGTTAACTTGGGCCAACAATGAGGCTGCCTGAGAAACGGAAGAAAACTTATCTGTGCTTCTTTCCTAGTTACAGACAGAAATCAGCCACCAGAATGAAAAAAAAAAAAGAAAAAAAAAAAAAAAAAGGAAGAGGAACAAGTACACAAGAAGTTTCCAAACCTTTTCATCTTGTAAAGTCTCCCTGCGCTAAAAAAATTATTAATATTGAAGTTTCCATAAACCACAAATTTTGCATTGAGACTTAAACGCATCAGTAATATTTATGTTGCATTAACGCCTCATTTACACCAGTCCAAAAGAAAACTTCCAGCGTGAAAACTGAAAAGGAAAACCAAACAAACAAAGCCCTCAAAGCCCTGCCCTGCTTTCAGTCCCGAGGAAGGGGCTGCGACCCGGGCCACAGGACGCTGACGGCGGCGGAGCCGTGGGGTGCGCGATTCCCAGCAGGTTACACCGGGGCTCTGCCGAGCCTGGCGGGGCCGGGGGTGCTCGATGCACCTCCCGGGGAGCCCCGGAGTCCCCCTGCCCCAGCGCCCAGCAGCAGCCGTGCCCGCACGGCAGCGCTGCCCCAGCACAGCCCGCCCTTGCCGGCCGTGGCAGCCGCTGTCAGCCGCGCTCCCGGCCCGCTCCGCAGCTCCCCCGGACCCGCCGCCGCCCCGCCGCCGTCCTAGGAGCCGCCCGCGGGACGCGCGGGCTCCCCACGGGGAACGCTCGCTTCCTCCCGCTGCCCCGCCACCCAGCAGTGTCGCAACACGGCCCGGGGCCCCCCTCAGCCCCGCGCCCCCCGTGGCCTCCGGTGTCCCCCGGCCGCGCAGGTGGCACCGCGCCGCCCCCGAGCCCCGCGTACCTGTTCGCCGCCCCCTCGCCGGGTGGGCTCCTGGAGAAGAAGCGAGAGAAAGTGCTGTGCCAGGAGGGGCCGGCCCGCCGCCGGCTGCCCCCGCCGGACATCCCCGGGACCGGACCGGACCGGACGGGACGGTAGACGCCGCCAGCAGCCGCCCGGCACCGAGTCCCCGCAGCGGCGGCGGCGGCAGGCGGCGAGCGCGTCCCTCCGCCCCGGGGAGGAGCCGCCGCTCCGCGCCCCCGCCCCTGCCCTGCTGCCGGCGGGGCGGGCCGGGAGAGCCGCGCTCGGAGCGGGAGATGGCTGTAGCAGCGGCAGGAGGAGATGGGGGAGCCCCGTCCGCGTCCCTTCAGGCGGGAGGGCCCAGCCCCAGCCCCAGCCCCTGCCCTGCCGAGCGCCCGGGGCCGCGGAGGGGGAAGGCCCGCCGCCCCGCGCCGGGAGGGTGGCGCGTTGTATTTGGGTTTGTTGCTTCTTTTTTTTTTAAGTTAATGGGTCATAATTAGTGTGAACAAAGAGAAAAGTTCAGAGGTAAAAAAAGCCGAAACAAAACAACAACAAACCTCTAAAGAAAAAGGTTAGGTAGCTTTGAGAACCTACAGTCCTGACTGACTGCAAACGCAGCGCCAGCCTGGTGCTTTGTGAGGGGGGCCAGCTTGGAGCTCCTGCACTCGTTTGTCCGTGTAAAGTCAGGAACTGGCTCGGCGCTGTCCCGGGCACAGCGCGGCTGCCCCAGCACCTGTGCCTGCTGCCCAGCGCTGTAAACATTGGCATCGAGCGGAGGCACACGGCAGCAGCGGCTGCGGATTCAGCTCTCCCCTCTCTCTGGTACTGGAGGGTTCATGCTTGCTGACGAAAAGTGGCCTGGAAAAAAGGAGTTCTCCTGTGCTTCAAAAAGTTTACTTCCTAGAAAGGAGTTTGGTTTAGTTTTCTGTTTGGTTTTGGCCTTTTTAATACCAAACCCTTCATTTTGCTCCTTCCAAGTGTTGTGGCCACCCTTGACTTAACATCAAACTATACCTACAGATGACCTTGTCATTGCAACAGCACAGTGACAAATACTACCCTCATTTTATAGATCGAGGTGATGCACAAAACCTTAATGATTCACGGAGTGTGAGTTACTGGTAAAGTAGACCAACCTCGACACAAGGGTTTTAAATTCAGAACCACAGTTTGTCATCTTTGTGAGCATCTCTGCTGTTCTTTGTGACTGCCTCCACCTTACACCTTTCTATCAGCTCCCTTTTGCTTTTTGCCATCTCACAGAGCTGTGGAATGATTGGGAGGGATCTTAGGATGACACCTGGTCCAATCCCCTACTTAACCAGGACCACCTGGAGCAGATTACCCAGGACTGTGTCCTGATGGCTTTTGAATATCTCCAACTCCAAGGCCTCTGGGTAACCTGTGCCTGTGATGTCCTCTCTTTTGTAAGGTTTTTTCCATTTCTTCACCTTAATCCATACCCAAACCTCTTTCTTAACCACTGTGTCATTGTGACAGGCAGATTATGAAGCTGGTACTCTAGGCCCATCTGCAGAGCAGCAGCAATAAAACAGCCTGAAAAAAAATTACTGTCTGCTTTTCTGTCCTCTTTTTCCTACCTCAGCTATGAACAAATCTTTAAGAAATGTGCAAACAGCTCTGCTTTGTATAGTCCAAGTCTCATATAGCTTTGATGTGGAATTTAAAAACACAGACACAGCTGGATATTGGACATGCACTTAATTTTTTAAGCAGTCGGAATTTGGACTAGCTGGTTGGATCACAGGTTACAAAAAGTAGCTTTCTCACAGAATAGAAACCAGTCACAAACCTTATTCAGGGGACCAGCACTTAGTACACAAGGTTCTGTCCAGTATTCAATGTCCAGACAAGGAGCAGACAGTTCTCTCAGTGATACAGATGCCCCAAGCTTTGCACACAGCCATGAAATGTTTCATTCCAGAACAGTATAGAGGAAAACAAGAAGCCACATTTTTAGTGTACCTACACATAGTCGCCAATTCTCACAGAAATGGCAATGGGGGTTAAAACTGCAAAATGTAACAGCAGTTCCCAATGAAACATTATAAAGGAGACACTCCTTCTGACATTCAAAATAGAAGTAATTAGGCTCCAAAACCAAATTAGAAAAGTAGCAATTTATTAGGACTGCACAAACAGGCTGCAGGGAGGCTTAGGCTCTCCCTGTTTATTACTTTTAATTCTTCTTTGCCACACACATCTCACAGCTTCCCTACCTATTGCTTAAGTAAGATCTAATCCCTGAATAGCAAGGTAGCAAACCTGAATATAATAATTAGCATTTATTAAGCATCCGGTGTCTTCAAAGGATTTAAGCATTAATTAATCCTCGTAATCACCTCAGGATGTAGTTAAGCATAATATGGTGAGTGGTTTGCACACACAGAGGCAGTCAGAACACCTTACTGCATCCCAAGGCTGTCCACATGTGCCCAGAGGGGCACCACAGGGTAGCATGAAGCATTACCAGGGCTCTTCTTGTCCAAGAACAAAGAGCCAAGCTAATCAGAAATGCTAATCCCAAACAGTAACATTTTGTGCTCAAATCTGTTCCTCCTTTCTTCACTGTACCTAAAAGCAGAAAATACAGGAATGCACCAAATTACAGTTCTATTGCAGGCAAATAACAAAAATATTAAAACTAATCAATGTAGTAAAACTGTATCAATATAAGAGATGAACATGGCACAGGTTAGAGAATCCCCTTCTGGTTTTTTTGTACCCTGGAGTAATTGAGTATCACATGACCTAAGAGTAAATAGTTTTGACACACCTAAAATAATAAAAGGGGAAATTTAGCCACCTACACTTCCAGCAAGGGGGGAAAGGGAAGCTTTTACCCAAAGCTGCAGTATCTGCCATGTGGCAGGTGGCCTCACACATTAGCACAGCTGCCAGCATTAACAGCAGCACCAACACGTGCAAGCCAAAACAGATGGGGCAAACAGGTTCCTTTCCGCCTCAGATTAAAGTGCTCACATGTGGCCCACATGAGGTAATAAGGCAACACCAAAGGCAGGCAGAAACCATTAAAACACAGTTGCAGAGGGATAGAATTGCACAGAAGAGGAAAATGTCAAGCAGGGGCTCTCAGTACTTTTTTTTCAAAATTCATCCTGCCCAGAGTGTCACTTGAATGTTGAGTAAGAGAGGGAGGGGGTGCTGTGCCTATTCCACATCCACTTAATTTTTCTACTGCAATTCTGATTATAATGGTTATGCAGAAGGGAAACCTCCCCCTTCTCCTTGCTGATTTAGAGTGAGCAGATGGTGAAATTTTAATTGTGCTTTTTGTATTTCCTCCTTTTTATGGGTTCTTAAAATCTTGAGTCAAATCTTTTGTTTTGTTTGGATACCAAAAAGGAAAGCAAATTTCCATCATGCTGGTTTAGGAGGAGCCCTCCTTTCACACCCTTCTTTTAAAACTTTCCTGGTACATTAAAGTAATAACCAGGGGAGAAATGTCGTCTTAAAACCTCCAAATGAAACGTTTTGCCTGCAAGCACATTTCACACAACTATTAAATGAAAACAACATCCTCAAACTGTTTCCATTGCTGGACCACAACAATAAGAAGTGCTCTTGTGTTCTGAGATGTAACTCTGCTATGCAAAAGCAAAGTCAGCTTTCCATTTCATACATGTTAATGCATTTATCTACCAAAATATTTTATAGAGCTGTGCTACTTTTTCTTGTTAATAAGCCCTCCCATTTTCCAGGCTCTTACAGAACATATCTGCAGGTAGATGTGGCAGAAATAGCAACAGTATCTTAAAAATGAACAGGTCCTTAGCTATCTTTTTCCTTTCCAGTCTATCATCTATTATGGCAAGATTTTAAATAGGTGCCATGAGACCATGAACTAAGAAATACATATAAAGGAGTCATGGTGTGTAATATTTCCTAGCCATTTTTCACAATGTTAGTTGTCCAGATGTTGAAGCAAATACAGATGACTTTCAAATCTCTAATCTATACTTTAAAATGAAGGTGACCAACACCTTCACAGAATGGAAGAGTTGGGTGTTGGCTATGTTATTACACAGATGAAGGATGTTAGCAAGGATTTCTAGGATTATTTTTTATCTAGCCATGACCTCCTGCTGTAAAGTATGTGCTGTGCAGCTTCCAGCAATCCTCATCCTTTAACTGTAAACACACAGTTCCTCCATTTGATTTACTGAAAATGGTTTAAAAGTCAGCCACGTGGTCAGCTGCTCTTGTTCAAATGCCTTCATGTCTGGAGAAGACAGCTGGAAATGACTCATGGGGTTAAACAGCAGCTTCTGAGACCCATAACTGTGTTCTTTATTATTTTGGGTAAGATTCATACACCGTGCCACCTATGATCAAAATTCACCCTAGGAATTAAAATCTTTAAATCATCTTTTTGGAAAGCTTCTCTTGTTTGTTTTCCACTCTATTTGTTTTTCACTTGTAAATTTGTGACATCTACACCTACCCAGTAGCAAAAGTGCTAAAAGGGGAAACTAACTGTGAAGTACAAAATAAGAAACTACCAACCCACCTACAGAATCTTTTTTAAAGCAGACTTTTGCTGCACCTGGGCATGGAACAAAAAGCACTCAGAAGCCTCATACTCTGCTGGGATGTATGTATCTAATTCCAAAAGATTTGACAACTTTCAGCTGATTAGCAGAGCTTGTCTGGGAGGCTCCCAAGATGTTTCTGACAGCACCTCATATCAATCAAACTTGTGTGAATTGAAAATAAAGATTAAGCTCACTTGTCCTCTTACCAAGTTAATGCCTGCAAACCACCCTACCCTAACTAGAGCTCGGGAAAGTCTGCACTTCATGTAATGAGGGCTCTGTAAAACCATCCTGCTCTGAGTCTGCTCACCTGCTAAGACATTCTGTCTATTCACCATCAGCCTTCCACAAAAAATTATGGTTAAATTAAGGGCTTCAGCTTGAAGCTGATTTCATCCAAATTCTAACATATATTTTAGATAGCGCAAAAAGCAGAACAAATAATTCAATATTCATAAGAATGCAAGAGCTTTCAAAAGAGGTGTCTTATATGCAAATAAAACAAATCCATGAAATACATTACCAGCTACTTATACATTGTAATTAAATTA